AACTCCCACTAGGTTTATATCTGGGACTCTCCACCATTTGACCTTAGAACTGAAGAAGCTTCTCGGATGAGAGGTGAAACGTCTTCAAGCAACTCAAAGAAGTCCAGACGCTTTTCTTTGCAAGCTCCTTTGACTGTAGGTTGTAGAGGACTCCCCCACTTCAGTGAAGATGTTTCCGGCGGGACAAAGACATCGTATCCCAAGACATCCAAGAGATTGGAGAAAAGAGCCATCAGTTAGTTTTCCTTCTACAACTCGAGGTGCCAACACCCTCTAAGTTATCCAAGCAATATTTGTGCCTATTGTAGTCCAGGATTGCTTCTTGCTTTCACACACAGCCTTTATTCCCCATCACTGACTGCTGGTTCCTTGTGTGTTGCTGTCAAAAGAAGCACATTCCTCCGTTGCTTTGGCATGTGGGATATGGCCATGGTAGCTTTGGTGAAGCCAAAGACAGACAACAAAACTTCCTCTCTTGCAACTGGAGGAGCTGGGGAGGAAGCTCTGGGTTGTTTCCCCTGTGCCCGTTTTCACCTGAGGAGTTCCAATCTGCAATCTGAAGTGTTCCTCACACATAGACTGTGTAGGAAGCAGGCCCAGACACAGTCTATGCGTGAGGACTTCCTGCAGCAACTCAGGAAGTTCAAGCTGCCACAGGAGGTCACCTTCTACACCTTCTGTCCCATGCACATCAATTACTGTCTGGTTCAGTTCAGCCCCGAAAACTGCAACAGACAATCAGGTCTGCAGAGAGGATCGTCAGCTGCCTGCAGACTCCTCCCATCCTGTTCAAACTGCTGCCTTCAGACCGCCGTCTAGGTTTTCTTCCCTCAGGCTGTCACTCTGATGAACACTGTGAAATAAGCTGTTATAGCATTCATAAGTGCATTGGGCTACTATTGTGCTCAGTTTGTATAGTTTGTTAGACTTTGTGTAACTTGTTTTCTCTTACTTTTTGTTTGCATGCATAGATCAAAGGGACCCAGAGTCAGAGTCCATGTTTGTGGACACAGATTTGGCCAAATAAAGAGGATCTGATGATGCCGACTTTGGAGAGTGGGTTTTTGCAACAAACTCTCCAGTTTTCAAAACTGTTCCGACATCTGTCCTGTTTGTCTGCATGTCTCTGAGCTTCTGTGCAGGAACATCATGAAAACGGCAGTAAAAACTATGATCGTCCACTCAGCGTCCACAGGTTAGAGAAACTGAGGGTGCATGACCGGCCGACGCACCACAAAGATGTGGGTGTTACAATAAACAGAGCCTTGGTTTGGTGTCAAACTGAATTCAATCGATTAGAAAACATACTTAATGTTACATGGAATTTGCTTTTGTCTCCATTACAAAGATCAAGAGGCCCAACAACGGCAGTAACACAAGAGCAAACAGAACTTACTCGCAGAGGATGACCCCATCCTTCAAGCCTTTCTGGAAATTCTCTCCAATAGACATTCCGGTCACCTCTTCAATCCAGAAACGGAGCTCCTCCTCTTTCTGTGGGTCATATTTTTGAGCAATCTGGAGAGATTAAAACACAAATAATAATATGACCACATGAGTCTGTGATAGCACAGCTGCTAGCACCAGTGCCCAGCAGACCATGCTGAGCCTTTACCATCTACAGACATCGGAGCTTTCAAAAATCATCAGTCGTGTTTCATCTGACCAAAGCCTCACCAATGTATAACGTGTATTCTTTGGTTATACAGAACTAAATAAATATTTCACCCTCAGAGGGTAGTGTAGGGTCAAAGGTCAGCCACACAGGGTACTGTAGGGTCAAAGGTCAGCCACACAGGGTACTGTAGGGTCAAAGGTCAGCCACACAGAGTACTGTAGGGTCAAAGGTCACCCTCAGAGGGTAGTGTAGGGTCACAGGTCACCCTCAGAGGGTAGTGTAGGGTCAAAGGTCACCCTCAGAGGGTAGTGTAGGGTCAAAGGTCAGCCTCAGAGGGTCCTGTAGGGTCAAAGGTCAGCCTCAGAGGGTCCTGTAGGGTCAAAGGTCAGCCTCAGAGGGTCCTGTAGGGTCAAAGGTCACCCTCAGAGGGTAGTGTAGGGTCAAAGGTCAGCCTCAGAGGGTACTGTAGGGTCTGGGCACTCTTAAATGATGAGGTTTGGGCACTTGCAGCAGAAACAGCTTTTTTAAAACCTTTTCTCAGTAACTTTCAGACCACGAGGGACACACTAACACTGCAGTCATGAATAATAGAATTGTGGTTTACAGGTGCTTGGTGGTCTTAAACTATCTTCTGCTGAGGTCCAAGAGTCTCTCTGTGCTGTCCTTTAAATGGTGGGCTGTCACATGGTACACTTCCCATCCAAGGTTTTTACATGTTAACCCTGAACCATCGTTTTCTCTTAGGCTCTCCATCAATCACAGTAAAAGACTGAAACAGGGCGTTCCTAGAAAGAGGTCAGGGAGGTAACGGAGAGCAGCCAGCAGGGCTTTTCTTCTTATCGGTTTGATTTAGAACAGGCACTGGCATTTTGCTTCTAATTATTACTGTTTTGGGGTTTTTAAGATGCCAAGTAACACATCCAGTTACCCGTTCAGCTGGTAAAGAACTGCTGACAGATTAAAGTGGTTCACAAAGTCTCCAGAATCAACAGGACATAGAGCGCCCTTGCTGATCACTGTGGTTTGTTCTATTCTATCATGTGGACTAAACAAACACTCCTGCTGGGATCAGCTCATGCCCCAAACACATGTGGAAGCCTCACTCTCCACTGAATCCATCTCACCAGGTAATCCTGTGCTATAGAGGACAGATGGACCACAACCCATCCAAAGCACAGGGACTCCGCTTTTCTGAAGCATACGGAGGAACAATGGAGGACTTTTATCTGATAATATCTCTGAGTGTTTGTTTTTGTAGGAAGTTTCATCATATTGTAAATGTATTATCCAGAAAAACAACTTCTTTTTGCTGCTCCAAAACTACTGTTGGTATACTTTAAAAACATCCATTTCCACATATTTATTTTAACACATTCACTCAGGCAGCCAAGCTGTTGTGTTTGTGTTGTGTGGTAACACAACTGGCTGGCTCCCAGTTCAGTTACTAAAACAGAAAACCATGAAAAACGGGACAAAGTTCAGAACGTGATAAGAAAACAGTTTCTTTGAACTTCTGTGATGAAGCAGGGAAAGCACAGAGCTCATGCACAAACATGCAAAGAAAGATCTCTCCCAGACTTGGATGGACACAGCTGCTTTATGGCCAACTGTCCACTGAATAAGGGCTGATTATATCTGTGGGGCCTTTCTTTAATCAGTGCTGTCATGTTTAGCTATATTACACGTTTTTAAAAAAAATCCCCCAAAAGTTTCCCTCAAAACTCCAAATTTCAGTCGAGCTTGAGAGCATCTACTTAGGAGCAGGTTTTAGCTTTTAGTTGGCACTCAGAGAAGCTGCTGTCCCACATCATGCCAGAGACTTGGGGGATCCCAGGTTGTTCCCGAACATCCTAACCGACCTTCTCCAATCCGAGGAAGGCAGTTTGAGTCTTCCTCTCGACCTTGGCAAAGAGGGGAGCATTCGAAGAACTTGTCCTTGCATACAACAGTTAGAACTCACGATCTTGGAACCTGCAGTTGTTCCAAAATGGTTCCATTTCTGAACGACTGCACTTTCAGTTTGGTCAAACAGATGCTTTTTATACTGGCAGAGAAAAACTACCAGCTCTAACAAAAAGGGCTTAAATTTAGCGGCCTGGACAGCAGGTCTCAAGGGTCTGTTACATGTTACTGCAGCAGTTTAAAAGTTATTTATACTACTGAGGAGTAGTACTCAGATTTTTGCCCTTAAAAAGCCGAAAATGTCAAAAGTTTAGACTTCTTTAATGAAGGATATTTTATTAAAGAAAACTAGCAAAGCAAAAACAAATGCAGACAGTAATAATCCCAAAATAATAATCACCTGAAATATAACCTAGTCTGAGCTAACGCTGGGAGTAAGAAGCTTGGAGAGACGACGAGCACCCTCAGATGCACTCTCCCCGTGTTAGAGGCTGAGCAGAAATCCAAATCTTCTTGAGCGCTTCAGATTTTAAAGCCCAGACTTTTCTTCTTTTCTGTCTTATTGTAACATAGAATTTCTACACACGAACACTGAGGCAGATTTGAATATGCTTCATCAGTCTTCAGTTAGATCATGATTCAATTCAATTCAATTTTATTTATACAGCGCCAAATCACAACAACAGTCACCTCAAGG